CACTGTTATTACTGACGCGCCTTTTTTAGCTGCTAGGAAGATATACACATCGATCTTTGGCTTTCAACAACCAAGCTCTAGTTTCTAGGATCTAGAAGAAAGGAAGTCACAAAAACCTCGATTTAAATTTGCATTTATTATTTTTTTCGAAAACATACGTGAATTTCACAAAGCAGAATGTAAACCTCTACAATCTATGAAGTACTGTGTATTTTTTTTTTAAATAAGCAAAACGTTTGTGTGTGTAATTTTTGATGCTGCGAACGATATCATTTAATTGGTACACGATGAATTTCATTTTCCTTAGTTTATCAATTAATGAATTGTAGTTTTAAATTTTTTCATCGCATATTATTGGTTAATAGCATTCCACGCATACTAGTCAAAAACATTGAGATCAGGACTATTTACTGGCCATCTGTGATTGTCTATAAAATGCATGAAATTTTCTTCACTCCATGTCAATCATAATTAATGTGCATGTGACAGGATGTTATCTTGTTGACAGGTGAAATCATCGTCTGGTAGACGTTTGCGTTCAGAATGTGTTTGTAGGAGAACAATTTCAATATACTTTTCATATAATAATGCTTTACTAGATTTAAATATAATGGGAGACATAAGACTATTTTTATATTTGCCTAACCATACCGTAATTCTTTTTAGATACATAGTGTTTTGGTTTGTATACAGTTGTTCATGTGTTTCTTATCAGCTTGCAGGGCAAACATGTTCTAATGAGAAATATTATTTGTCAATAAATAAAATTGTCTTCCATCAATGAGATAGAAAAAAGCAAATTAATTATTTATCAGACAATGCTCATGTTGATAACGTCGAAAATTAGTCGCACAGAATTTTGCTTATTTTGAGAACAAAAAGTAGACAATTAAGAATAAGCTTTATTTTGTAGATTGTAGAGTTTTTCACGGTGCATCTTGTTGTTGTCATACATTCTGTTTAGTTTTTCATAGGACGCATGTAGAGATTAAAATATGAAATACAAAGTACGATCATTTATTATAGGTTATCAGTTAGTTGATGACAAGCATAATAAGTTAATGAGAGAAACAATTCCAATTATTATGACATCAATGTTTTAATTATCAAATCTATTAACATATCTTACACTCATTTATTATTAAGATTAACATTGACGAAGCCATCTATAGAAATTTCAAAAAAGTTTTTCAAATGAGAATATAGTAGTTGAATTGAATATAATTAAAAGTGAAATACTTTGAGTTGATTAAACGTCTATCACCTCTCGAAAATCGATCTTTAGTCAGGTACATTCAAATCACATGAAATTTTCAGTCCTAAAACTTGACGGTTTCACAAGATATTTAACAACAGATTGTTAAAAATAGCTTATTTGACAACTCAGAATTCTCTATAGGCCTTCATTCTATATACTTAATTATTGTTTGTTTGAAAGAGTATACCAGGATGCAAGATATGGCATTGATGTTTTTGTAATTCTTACTCTTTAAGGGATGAAAATTTCAATGTATCAAAAAACTCTCAAAAAATAACACTCTAGTTACAAAGGTACTCTTTTATATAATAATAGCAAAGCTTAATTAAAAAAACTGACTCTGTGATCCCTTGCATCTTGACATTATCTTTCAAATAGAAAAAAGTCATTGGCTACAATAAAGCTCCTTCGAGAATTCTGGAATTCTCTATAAAAAAAAACATAAACGAAGAAAAAGTGGAAAAGATTTTTCGTTTTATCTGAAAAAAATCATATTTTTCAAGCAGAACATGGCGGAAATTTTGAAAAAAAAAACGAGGTACCAAATACTAAATCATGTCAGATCTTCGTCTATCTTCCCATGCATTTATCTGAATTTTCATATTTTTGACGAATATTAAGTTTGTTGAAAGGAAGGTAGGCTTAAGCACAAGTTACTTTTGGCAGGCCGGATGAATTTCTCAAGTTATAAGCAAAATTTCGAATATAACTATTGATTTTTGTTATTTTCGGAAAGAAGCAAATGGGTATTGAGCTGGACTGATTCATATAATTATCCCCAGCAGTGATCTGGATTATCTGAAAGTTCTTCCTCAAAAGGGCGAGGTTTCAGAGAAAAAAAAAAATTTCTTCGTAATCTTATCAATTTTTGTGTTTCATTGTTTAAGAACAAAAACTCCACATGAGCAGAGATTTTCACATTATTCTCGCATAAAAGCAATCAATCATATTGTAAAATTTTAACTTGTTTCGTCCTTGTCTCATTGATTTGAAAAAAGTTTTGAAATAAGATGTTGACGCCTTTTTTCCTCGTATATATTT